TGCCCGCCCAGCGTACCCAGGTGTCTACGCCAGCGTTCCAACCCTTCGTGGATACATCACCAGCATTGCTAACATCTAAATTTAGAAGCCTTTTTAATTCTGTGTTAGATCTGTAAATAAAAAAATTGAAAACTTAGTTATAATGGCTTATTATTATACTTTGTTGCATGGCCACTATCCAGTTGTTATCCAGCTTTTTTAAGATTATAATAATTATGAGAATGTTGTATCCAGTTGAATTTTCAATTGCAATCTAATCACGAGAATTTGATTATATTTTTGTTAAACATGAACAATATTAAATCATATTTTCAAAAAGTCTTTTAAGAGTATTCATAGACATCTTAGCAACTTTCGTGCCGATATCACACACTATATGGCACGAATATATGGATGTATCATAGCTCAGTATCTTGTTGGTCTCTGTGTGGTTAAATTCATCTGTGTGGTTAAATCTTTGTATATTTTTGAAAATCTTAAGTATTATAAGTACTTCCTGTGGTTGGGTATGTGCTTTATTTGTCCTTCCAGGTTTTACGAGGCCTTGGTCTAGGCCTTCCCCCTTCTATCATCATCCCCATGATTCTCTTTGGGTATCAACCAATGAAGTTGTTTTTCTTTATTATTTGTACTTTCTCATTGTTTCTAAAACCCGTCGCGTCGTAGGTACTTCAGTTCTGACGGTTCTTTAATTATTAGTTATTATTAAGGCACGGAACTTTTGTAACAAAAGGATACGATTTCCCCCCTCCACTTGTTCTCAGTGGCTTCCTAGAAAACAAACCCAGAAAACTATCCAATGAGAACAAGTGGAGGGGAAAAATCGTATCGTTTTGTTACAAAAGTTCCGTGCCCTAGTTATTATACCGCGTGCCCATTATGTATAGAATATAGTATACATCTCGGTAAATATCGACTGTATAAAAAAACTTTTTATGTACAAGTTGTTTAACATTTTATTTTCCATAATAAGACGCTTTTATTTCAGAACACTTGAATTTTTTTAAATAGCGATGTATCCTTTCATTAGGCTCATTTGATAGAGATTTTTAACAATCGACTTAAGACAAATAAATGAGATCTCGGATATCTAGATTCATGTTATTGGTGAAATTAACTTAACAGTTGTTACATCTTTTTTGAAAAACTTTCTGGTATAACTGTACTAAGATTTTACGTCATCCAAAAGAACAGAAGAAAATCTCTATCAAATGAGCATAAGGAAATGGTACATTGCTATTTAAAAAATTTAGGTGTTATTCGTTACACATTGGTTTTCTGAAATAAAAACAACTGAATCCTGTAGTACGAAAAATAAAATTTGAAAATTTTTTATTATGTCGATATTTACAAGATATATACTATATTCCATGTATAATGGGCAATTGGTGTATAAATTCTATATATTTCGGTTATTATACAGAGTGTCTGTAAAGTATGGTCCGCTTTTCCATACTTTGGCTAATGAGTTGTTAATTAAGATATGTTGCGATGAAGAGGTCAATTATTATATGTATTGGAGTCGTGTTCAATCCTTAACTCCAATCAAATACTAAATTTCTATCCATCTTTTCAAATTATTGGTCAAGATAAAGTAGTATTCTCCAAATAACGTAAAAAACGAAACGAGACATCTAATATAACCTGGTAGAATTTCCAGTCTATAAATTCAAACAATATTTCACTGGCAGACACTCTCCAAAATAACATCCAACCCAATAAATTATCAATTGCTCCTTTAGATCTTTTTCATAGATTTGTTTCAGCTTGCATTTAAGCCAAATATTTCTTATCGAAATCTTGTTGGTTACCTGTTTCATTTCCCGGTTCGATTACTTTAATCCACAAAGAGTATGTAGATGAGCCATGTAGACAATAATCTTATGATATACCGCAGTATTTGCTAAAATCGCAAAAGCGCAGATCAAATAATATGACGATTTAATATGATTTAATGCGATTTGATTGTAACTGGAAATTTAACCAGATACAACCTTTTCAAAATTACTGTAATCCGAAAGAAAGTGGATAACAACAATACTGTATAATACAGCAATTAGGCAAGGAAGTATAATAATAAGTCATCGTAATTAACTTTACATTTTTTTATTTACAGATCTAACACAAAATTAAACAGGATTCTACATTTAGATGTTAGCAACGCTGGTGATGTATCCACGAAGGGTTGGAACGCTGGCGTAGACACCTGGGTAAGCTGGGCGGGCACATCCGTATCCCCAAGAAACGATACCAATAAGTTGTCCATCAACGACCAATGGGCCACCACTGTCACCCTACAAATTCAAAAATTATAAATAAATAAAATTCATTATTTTAAAACAATTTCTTCAACTCACTTGGCAAGCGTCTTTTCCTCCACTAGTTTCTCCAGCGCACATCATACGGTCGGTGATGGATCCACTTCCGTAAGCAGAAGCGCAAGCGGAGTTGCTGACAACGGTAACTTCAACGGATTGGAGTTGAGATGGTGATGATCCACCTTCTGTTAAAGTTCCCCAACCACTGACGACGGATTTTTCTCCAACGGGAAGAGCTTGGTTAAGAGAAGGCAAGCCAACAGCGGCAACACCGGATCCAAAGGTAAGATCGGAAGCGAGTTCCAAAACACTGATATCGTAATCAATGGCGGAGGAATCGTATTGTGGGTTTTGGTGGATGGCTTTAACGTTGACAACTACGCCACCGGATCCACGAATGGAGGAACCAGCACGGATGCTCAACATGGAAGCGGAAGATCCATCGGTACAATGAGCGGCGGTTACGGCAAATTTGGAGGAGAGGATGGAGGCTCCACAGATGTGGCTACCATAGTACTGAAGGGAGAGTTGGTATGGGAAGTCTTCAATATTAGCGTCGTTTCCACCAACAATTCTTCCATCAGGAAGAGGTACTTTGCGTGGGAGAGCTAAAAAGAATTAAATATGTATTATGAATACATCGAAAATACTTTTTTTTTGTCTTACCGAAGGCGGTTGCCAAAAGGCAGGAGAGAACTACAAAGCGGAACATTTTGATATGACACGATTTGAGAGTTAGTGAGTTTATATAGTTATATTATCTAACCAAAAAATTTTTTGCCACTTGAATTGGTGATAAGGAATATATGTATTTATGAAATATTAAATTAAGGACGTGTAATTGATATTGTAATATCAGGGTTTTTTTTTCTATTTTAAGCAGGTAAAGTACAATAATATTAAAAAATGCTGTACTTTTCATGTATCTAGAAATCTCTAGAAAAATTGTAAACAATCTCTCAAAACAGAATTAGTATATTGACTCATCCTGTAAATATCAACCAAGGATTTCTAGTATGCTTAGTTAATGCTGTTGTATTCTCCTACTTTACTATTAGTAAGATGTATACATCTTTTTCTCTGAAATAAGCACTTTTTAGTCAGCAGTACATTTGCTTGTTTGCCTTAAAACGATAAATTAAGATCACTGTTATTAATAAGGCATATTTATCCGCTTAGTTTTAAAGCTAATTGTTATCGATTAATCGACCTATCAATACTAACAAAGAAACTTATTTCGAGATAACCATCTGACATCAGTATGTAATAGGATAGTGTTCATACATCTCGAACACTTCTTCTGAGGAGAGATGTATGAACCATATTCCTGACAGCTTCCTAGTTATAAAAACGTATTTATTACCAGTTATTAAAGTTGCACTCGCTAGATATCCGCAATGTTAGGCTTGCAAATCGTGCAGTTAATTGGTGTGCGGGATTTCTCCTAAACCGGAAGTCGAATAATCATTCGAGTACAATTACTGTTGTAAACTCAAAAACTAGTGAACTGCGTAGAATTTTAAAAAAATATTTATTTTTCACGAAATGGTGCCAATTTTACAAGAAATGTCATATTTATTGATAAGAAAGATACATAAAAATGGTTGTAAAACAGACAACTTGAGATACATCAAAAAGTGTAAAAAAAAATGTACGTAGCCGGTACATTCAAAGATTAAAATGATGCAAATTAAAAAAAGAATTGAAAATCTGTTGAAAAATGTGGGAGCTATCACAATCAACAATCAACAAACAAATCAAGAATTTGGATAACTCACGAATTAGACAACGCAAGCTGTTAAGCAGTTTGGCCTTTCTACGAATATGCAGAGAGAAGAAAGTAACAACCTTCTTGAAGGTGAAGCACCACATCGACTCCGCTGCAGCACGTAGAATCTTGATTAGGACAGAACAAGCACTACTACGAGAAAGAATCCACAAGACCTGCAATGATCTACAGAAAATAGGTGGGAGGTTACTACGGCGCAACCTCTCACTTTTCAACTGTATGTCCGGAGAAGACTGGGATAAAGTGGACAGACTAACAATGGAGAAGGCTCATCGTGAATTCCAGAAGACCCGTGACACGTATATCAATAAGTTTGAATCAGAAGAACACCGGATACAAAAGAACAGACAAGAAAGAATATGACGACAAAATGACGAACCTACTGGAACCAGCCACCTACAGGAAGATCAAGAAGCACCCCACAGACAAACCGTAAGGAAAATGAAGGACCTGATAAAATCCACAGGAATTGCCAGCAGAACAGCAGAAAGGTTTGTTTGTGCAGGCGCCGGTACCACCAAGAATTTACAGATTACCGAAGATTCATAAACCATACGTCCTCATCGTCAGTGTCATCAACACCCCAACATACCAGTTGCCCAAATATCTTGCAAAGATTCTGTCTCCTTTCACAGAGAATACGGAATCGTATGTCAGGGATTCTACACACCTTGTGGAATCGGTAAAATGCTGATGCTGAGGAAATTTTGGTGAGTTTCGATGTGGAATCCCTTTTTACTACTGTGCCAGTTAAGGTTGCTGTTGATGGTCTCCGCCAAAAACTCATTCCGGAGGGATTACCAGAATACGTGCCAGATCTAGTGGAGTACTGTTTATCATCGATGTATTTCAGCTGGAAGGGAGAATTTTACGAACAGTTCGAAGGGGCAGCCATGGGATTTCCATTATCGCCAGTTGTAGCGAATTTCTACATGGAATTATTCGAAGAAGACGCTTTAAAGAAGAGCCAGTGGAAACGAAAACCATGGCTCCGATATGTGGAGGACACGTTTGTGATATGGCAACATGGTCAAAAACGGCTCCAAGAGTTTTTGGATCACTTGATCTCTCAACATCCCATGATTAAGTTTATTATGGAAACAGAAACTGTCGAAAAACTACCTTTCCTAGATGTGTTGGTGACCAGGACGACAAATGGAGATATGGAACTTGGTGTAATCGGAAGAAGATCCATACCAACAGGTATTTGCTGGCATCATCACATCAGCGAGCAGCGAGAATATGTGAAGGAGACAATTTGAAGAAGGAGCAACACTTCCTACGAGTCGTGCTGCAGAAGAACGGATACACTTCGAGGGACATCAACCGGGCCGTCAAGCAGCGAAAGCAGAGGGAGGACGCTGTAAGTACAAAACCTGTTGGATTTATCTGTCTTTCCTATGTTTCAGGTGTAACGGAACGGATTACCAGGCACTTCAAGAAAAACGACATCGTAGTGCAGTACGGGACGGTTAGCAAAATCCGGAACATACTCCCGATTGCCAAGGGCAAACTAACTCCATTAAAGGGAGCGGGAGTCTACCGACTATCGTGTAGTTGTGGGAAGGTTTACGTTGGATACGTTGATTTACACAAAGGTGCTGGCTAGGGACAACAGATATTATCAGAGACTGACAAGAGAACCCATAGAGATCCACCGACATAGAAATAACGTCAACAGAGAGGATGGCTAAGAGCTTAGCAGAACATGGAAGATGGTGGTGAACACGAAGATCTACTCTCGCCTCACACCGGACGCGAGGCAATTAGTTAATAATTAGCTTGTAATTAGCTTTAATTGATTATTTTGCGATTTATATATTGTTCCCGATTTTCGATTTCGTCACTTCGAACCAGTTTCTGAAGAAGATTGCAACATGGCATCCGAAACGTCAAACTTTTTCTTAAAAGACGCACGGCAAAACCTGAAAGTTTCTAGTGTTAGTTCAAATTAACTTTTAATTGTTAATTTCAGTACATTATTTCTATAATGCTTGTAAGACCGTCATTAAAATTGTAAGCAGCAATATCGGACTTAATACCAACCACTTTCTTGCCACTGTGAACCATTTTTGGTACCATACACAGCATTGTAGATTTTCATTACTGTTACTAGAATGAGTTCTAGATAGTCTAAAATACACATTAATCGAAAAACACAAAAACCCTTTTTTTAATTTCACAGGTGGCATATGGATGAGCTCCTCAGAATCCCGCCGGGTGAAATACAAGTTCAATGAAAGTCAAATGTATACAAGGTGTATCTGAATGACGTGTCACCCATGGTTCATATATCAAAGTACCCTTAAAATTGCCTAAAGAATCACCCCCTGAAGTTTGGGCACGTCATTCAGATACAGCCTGTATATAACGTAGCATTGTGGTTATAGCTGATAGATTTCTACACAATAACTTGATCAAAGCGTACAAAATTGATATATTGTATGCCTATGTAACTGTAAAACTTTTAAATGAAGTATGTACATATGCTTGATGTAGCGAGAGGATGCATTTTTTTTTACAATTTTTATACTGATTTAAAATCCCCTAATAATCAAACATCCCCTGATATAATCGGGGCCATTTTTAATAACGAATCGTTTATATCGGATGTTGATAATTTAAGTTTTTTAACAGATATGCTTATCATCCATTTATTTAATATAAAATTATATTATAAACTCACTGAATCTCAAATCGTACCATAAGAAAATGTTCCGTTTTGTAGTCCTCTCCTGCCTTTTGGCAACCGCGTTCGGTAAGCAGAAAGAAAACTTCATTTGAAATCTTTTTATAACATATTTAAAACTTTTGTCTAGCATTCCCACGCAAAGTACCTCTTCCTGATGGAAGAATCGTTGGTGGACACGACGCTAATATTGAAGACTTCCCATACCAACTCTCTCTTCAATACTATGGTAGCCACATTTGTGGAGCTTCCATCATCTCCTCCAAATTCGCCGTAACCGCCGCTCACTGTACCGATGGATCTTCCGCTTCCATGTTAAGCATTCGTGCTGGTTCTTCAATCCGCGGATCTGGTGGTGTTGTTGTCAACGTTAAAGTTATCCACCAAAACCCACAATACGATTCATCCGCCATCGATTACGATATCAGTGTCTTGGAACTCGCTTCTGAACTTTCCTTTGGCACTGGCGTGGCCGCTGTTGGTTTACCTTCTCTTAACCAAGCTCTTCCTGTTGGAGAAGAATCCGTTGTCAGTGGTTGGGGAACTTTAACCGAAGGTGGATCATCTCCATCTCAACTTCAATCCGTTGAAGTTACTGTTGTTAGCAACGCTGCTTGCGCTTCTGCTTACGGAAGTGGGTCAATCAGCGACCGTATGATGTGTGCCGGTGAATCAAGTGGAGGAAAAGACGCTCGCCAAGTAAGTTTTAGAAATTGTTTTAAATTAATGAATTTTGTTTATTTATCATTTTTGATTTTGTAGGGTGACAGTGGTGGCCCATTGGTTGTTGATGGCCAACTTATTGGTATCGTTTCTTGGGGATACGGATGTGCCCGCCCAGCTTATCCAGGTGTCTACGCCAGCGTTCCAACTCTTCGTGGTTATATCACCAGCGTGGCCAATATCTAAATTTAGAATCCTGTTTAATTCTGTGTTAGATCTGTGAATAAAAGAATTGATTGTTAGTTATAATATATCTTACTATTATATTTTCTCGTGTAACCACTATATTATGCAGTATTGTTGTTACCTAATTTCTTTAGGATTACAAAACTTTGAAAATGCTATATCTCGTTGAATTTCCAATTATATTCATATCACGATATTTGATTTCATTATATATTTTTGGAAATTTTGAGTACATCTACGTGTTAAGGTACGCCTGTGGAAGATTTTAGAAATTCACAAAAGAGCATCTCATCTTTTCTGAAGATAGTTCTAATTCCTGGTAGATACTTGGTCTACGATTATTTCGTTATAAAGCTTTCTTTCTGCACTGAAAAGAAAATAGGGTCGATTACCGATGTGTTTATTGGTAATTTGGCCCTTATGATATGTACTATTCAGTTGAAATAGTAAAATTAATCCTTATAAGGAAAATTTACAATCAAGAAAGTAAATTCACAAGCAAGTTATCAATTAATTTTACTGTCTATGTTGTAAATTACAGTAATAAGGGAATTTTACCCCAACTGTATTACGTATTACGAAAATTGTGTTTTTATGGTGTAATTTTAAATTTCAACCTATTTCTTTTAAAAAATGTTGGACGCTTGGTAAATAGCATATTTATAACGTAACATGTACTGTTACAAAAAGTCATAGTAACAGTTATGAGTACAATAAATTTATTGTAACTCATACGATGATGAAATTTACAACTATAAATTTCATAATATTTTTCTCAGTGTGGTTCTGTAAGAGTTTAGAATAACTTTGTAGAAAACTGTGGTGGGTTATGTCAAAATCTTCTTGTAATTAGTTCGAACAGATTATAAAAATTTATGTACTAATTTTGAACAGCATTTTAAACAGCCGTAATTAATCAATACTGTTTTTGTTAGAATCTCAAAGCAAAGTTTGATAATGTTGAAATACACAATTACTGTATGTTCTGGTTAGAACTGAATGATGAGTATATTGATTGGGGTTATCGTTAATTTCATGAAATTATTTTGCATGATCCTTATATATCTTTACATTTTAGTTATTGTATAGAGTACCTTTAAAGTATGGTCTGATTTTTCATACTTTGGCTAAAGGGGTGTTAATTAAGGTATGTTGCGTTGAAGATGTAAACTAGTTTGTTTTGAAGTCGTGTTCAATCCTCAACTCTAATCAAATACAACATTTTCGTTGTTTCTTGTTTAGATAAAAATAAATATATTAATCAAGCGAGATTAAGATAACAATGTAGTGTTTGATTGAATGATCAGTAGCAACAAATTACTTACATGTTGAAGGTGTGTAAATATTATTTGGAGTAACCTAACTTAATTTTCTCGTTGTTATGTGTAGTACTAATATACCAACAACGCTTATAAAAAACAATCGACATAAGTTCGTAGGTATTTCCAGCCGGTACTAATATAAATAAAACAAATCGCTTCACCGTCGAAATTTAGTATTGTCCAAATAACGTAAAAACGAAATTAAACATTTAAACTATACAATAAATGCTAACATATTATTTAAAAGTTTCATAACAATACAACTTTTCACCGAAGATTAAAATTAATACATTTTTACATGTACTATCGTTTCAACTTCTTTTTCCATTTTTGCCAAATAATTCTTATTGAATGCTGTTTGATTGCATTTTCCGGTTTGATCCAGAAAGAGTATGTAAAGAGCTTTAAATTTGTGTGAAAGCACTAAATAATGAAGCGCACAATCAAAATTCTATGAACAGTAAGAAATTGGGACCTTATATTGGCTTCAAATGCCCGACATATCGGATGGAAAGACAATAAACCTTTGATATGCAGGAGTATTTGCTAAAAATGTTATAACGCAGATCAACTAACGTGACGATTCAACTTTTTTAAAATAACGTATATCACCAATATGATTTAATATTGTTCTAGTTTAAAGAAAATTAAATCAAATACTTGTGATTTAATTGTAACTGCTAATTGATCGAGATATAGTCTTTTCAAAGTTATTGTAATGATGTAGAAACGGGCAAAGTAATATAGTAACATAAGAGTCGCACAAGGAAATATAATGAAAAGTCATTGTAAATAACTTTTAGATTTTTTTATTTAGATTTAGATTTTAATGATCACAGCATTCAAAAGATTCTGAATTTAGATGTTGGCAACGCTGGTGATGTATCCACGAAGAGTTGGGACGCTGGCGTAAACACCTGGGTAAGCTGGGCGGGCACATCCGTATCCCCAAGAAACGATACCAATAAGTTGTCCATCAACGACCAATGGGCCACCACTGTCACCCTACAAATTCAAAAGTAATAAATAAACAAAATTAATTATTTCAAAACAATTCCTTCAACTTACTTGGCAAGCGTCTTTTCCTCCACTAGTTTCACCAGCGCACATCATACGATCGGTGATGGATCCACTTCCGTAAGCAGAAGCGCAAGCGGCGTTGCTGACAACGGTAACTTCAACGGATTGGAGTTGAGATGGTGATGATCCACCTTCGGTTAAAGTTCCCCAACCACTGACGACGGATTTTTCTCCAACGGGAAGATCTTGGTTAAGAGAAGGTAAACCAACAGCGGCAACGCCAGTTCCAAAGGAAAGATCGGAAGCGAGTTCCAAGATACTG